AAGCAGGTGCTCATCCCCGATGTGCTCTACGTCCCGGGCGTGCGAGAGAACCTGCTTTCCGCCAGTCAGCTGAAAGAGAACGGCGTGAAGCTACAGGAGGACGGCGACGGGATGTTGCTCGTCTCGGTGGCGGGAGACGTCCTCGGTCGGGCGTCCTACACCGGCCGAGTCCTCTGCACCGACCTGCGTCCCTACTCAACGAGGTCGACGTCGCCCACGACGGAGGTCGTGGCCCTGCGGGCGATTGTCTCGGCGACGATGTCGACGCCGGACAGGCTGCATGCGAGGCTTGCACACGTCGGCATGGACACCATACGGAGCTCAGCGAAGCAAGAGGTCGCCGCTGGGCTGGACCTCAAGTCGGCGTCGGGCGCTGACTCACCGTGTGTCTCGTGTGTTGGCGGGAAGCTGGCGCGGCACACCTTCCCCGACCATGGCTCCGACGCCGACGACGTGCTGGCTGTCGTGCACATCGACTTGTGCAAACCGTTTCGCGTGGCTGCCAAGGACGGGAGCCTGTACTTCTTACTGCTCAAGGACCGCAAGACCCACTACATGTGGGTGAGGTCGGTCTCGAAGAAGTCGGACGCGCTGCTGGAGTTCCAGAAGTGGCTGGTGTTGATGGAGCGGCAGGCGAAGAAGTCGGCGCTGATGCTTCGCTCTGACCGAGGAGGGGAGTTTCTCGGCCGGGCTTTCACCGACTTCGTGGATGGCAAGGGGATCATCCACGACCTTACCTGCCCGTACACCCCGCAGCAGAACGGCATGGCGGAGCGGGAAATGAGAACAGAGGTGGAGTCCGTGCGGACAATGTTGCTGCACATGGGCGTGCAGCACCACTGGTGGCACCTCGCTCTGCGGCAGGCCGTCTGAGTCCGCAACTGCTTGGAGAGATCCACACTGCCGTCAGGGACGACACCGTACGAGCTGCTGACCGGGAAGAAGCCCGACTTGTCGCTGGCCCGTGTGTGGGGCTGCATGGTGTAGTTCCTTGTCCCCGAGCAGCAGCGTGGTGGAAGCTGAAGCCGAAGGCCAGGTGGGGCCTTCACCTCCGCATGTCGGAGGAGAGCAAGGGCTGGAAGCTCCTCAACATCGCCGACAACCGGGTGGTCACCACGTCGGACATGGTGTTCTACGAGGATATGTCGGTGGAGGTGTAGAAGTCGGAGCACGGGCCGGTGTCAGGACGGACGCCGACCACCCCGCCGACTGACACCTCGACGGCGACCCTGCCTCTGCTCGCCAAGGACGGTGAGCTTGCTGCTGAGGACGCCGAGGTCGTCCGTCCTCCATCCCCTTTCCCTCCCCCTACGACCCCTGCCCCTCCCCTCGTGGCCGACCTGTGCGGGCTGCCTCTTGTGTCGGCCTCCGGCGATGAGGGGAGTAGTGGGCCGTCGCCTTCGGCACCGGCCAAGAGCATCGCCGGTGGCTGAAGTGACAAGCAGCAAGTCGATGTGGGAGTGAATTCGACGTGGGAGTGAAGTCGACGTTGATAGGGGAGGAGCAGGTCGAGGAGGAGCACTCGACTTGGGTGAAGCCGGCGAAGAAGACACCAGCAGGGCAGCAGCCGAAGGCAGGCAGCGGTGACGCGACCACAGAGCAGTCGGCAACCAGGCAGTCGGCAGAGGAGCCGACCACAGGGAAGAAGTCGGCCAGGAAGCTGACCAACGTGCAGCAGGAGGATGAGGGCAGCGAAGCTGGCGACGAAGGAGGGGGCGCCGAGGAGTCCACCAAGAGCGACGTGGTGGAGGTTCAGCCTGAGCCGCAGATGTCCGGTCGAATTCGAAGGCCACCCGACTTTTTCGTCCCCGCTGCATTCACCACGGTGTACGACGTCGACGACGATGACCTGCTGTACGACGACGCTGAGGAGGATGAGGAGTTTCCAGAGCTCGACCCCGACATGGACGCCGACCCCGAGCACCGTTGGGACATTTCGACGATGACGGTGAAGGAGGCGTTGTCAAGCTGGAAGGGGCCGGCGGTGAAGGCCGCCATGGAGGAGGAGATCCGCAGCCTATTCAACATGGGCACAAGGGAGCTGGTCGAACGCCCACCAGGAGTGAACATCATGAAGAACCGGTGGGTGCTGACGACAAAGTACCACATCGACGACACCGTTGAGCGCGAGAAGGCAAGGCTGGACGACTACGATGAGACGTACTCGCCGGTGAGCAGCTACGTCACGCTGAGGATCTTTCTCAGCATCGTCGCCGTCCTCAACCTCAACCTGATGCAGCTCAACATGAAGAACGCCTTCCTGCAGAGCAAGCTCGACCGGGTGCTGTACATGTTCCAGCCGGACCGCTTCAGCGACGGAACCGGCCGGGTGTGCAAGCTGCTGAAGAGCCTATATGGGCTGAAGCAATCGCCGCTGCTGTGGTACTTGGCGCTCAACAATGTGCTGGTTGGCGCCGGGTGGAAGAAGAGCCAGGTCGACGAGGCTCTGTACTTCAAGGTTGACGATGGAGTGGCCTACTGGATGCTGGTCTACGTCGAC